CTGTATATTTCCTGAAGCAGTTGGCCATGCTGTTATAGAAGCCCATAAATGTTGGCTGCATATTGGCTGGGTTCATGTTGGCGGTTTTAGCTGTCGCGTGTCTGTGTATACAAAGTTTTCTGTCTCCTCTGCTTCTCCTTTTTCTGCTTTCCAAATCCTCGTTTTTTCTCTGACTCCCGCCTTTTTTCTCTTTCCTTTTCTCCTTGCCTCTCTTTCCTTCTTCTCGCCTCTCTCCGTCTCCTCCTTTTGTAGGGGTTGTCGTTGGACTATCTCATAAATACCCTGGGCGAATATCTGAGCTACCACTGGACACTGTGTTGCTGGTTCATGGGGGTTCGCTGGTGGCAGCCCCTCGTTCACTTAGTCATGGGTGTCGCCGTGCAGAAAGTGCGTTCGACCTTGAAATGCGAAACACGTCAGACACGGAGATGGACCTGGAAGGTGACCTAGTGACCCGTTAGCCCTTTCAGTCTAGTTAATCACAGGGATTTGATCCAAATACACTTTAAATTGTTCTTGTACTAAACTTATTAAGATGGATCATTTCATGGAAGTCACATGATGTCCAAGCTCTCTTATGAGTAGAGGCTTCACGGCCTTCGCGAACGATATGGCTTGGAAAGTGAAGGTCACGGCTGTATCGACCAAATAGGCAACATGTGTGCTAGCGTGTGTGTTTATGTGTACACGAGGATACGTGTGTGTTTCTGTGTACACGAGGATGCGTGTGTGTATGTGTGCTCTATATGAATGTAAGTGTGTGCGTTTGTAAGTGTACGTGTAGCTTTACACTTACAGTCAGTGTGAATTTGTGTTGACATCAAAAGAACATGTAAGGCGCAGGAGAAACCCATCTCGAAGCCCCTCGGGTCGGAGTCCCCAGTAATATTCCGCTGGTATTTCCACCATAGCCTAATCCTGCGTAACAGCCCCTTCCTCTCCCGGGGCAGCTTGCAATCTCCCAAAAATCAATATTTGATCAGCGTGAGAGGAGGATCTTGTCGTCTCCCGCTTAATTAAGACTATGGCTGTGTATTTTTTCCCGTGAAAGGATCGTAACTGTCAATAGTAGGAAATTATCAGGATAGTTCTGTATGTCCGTATGAAGGGCTCAGAGGCAGGCGTTTGGGATGGAACGCGAAGTGACCGTGTTTTGGAGACGGGAATTAGCGGGAAAATGATCAGGTATTTGAAAGAAACTAGTCTAGATTTTCTGACGATCGTTTCGGATTAGAAAGGGGAATAGTGAAACAAATAGATTATCAACAAGGAAAACGAGAGTACGATTATTATTTCAATGTCGATTGACAGCTTTGTAAATGACATACAACAATCAAGCCGTATAAAGTTAAAGAAGTGACATCATCTAAAATGGAAGAAATCAATGAAAGTCCTCTCTTTGGAGCACCGGCCATCGTCTTGTGTCTTCGAAGGGGGCGTGTACCTGCGGCTAGCACCTGCCTGCCACACCTGTTGCTTCCTTTCTACACGTGAAGAGGGGGCTGGGCCGTTGGGATTGGGCGGGGTAGGGGGGAGGTAACGGGATGGGAGATGGCGAAGAGAAGGTAAGAAGGGAGGGAGGGAGGAGAGCTAGAGAAATGGAAGGAAAGGGAGGGAGGATCGATAGATGGAAAGGAAGAGGAAAATGGGTCAGGGGAGAAGGGAAGGAGAGGAGGTAAGGGGGAAAGAAATGGGAGAAGAGAACAAGAAGGAATAGGACGTAGGATGAAGTAGGATTGTGAGGAAAGAAAAGAATAGTGTTGGGCGAGAAATTGAAAGATTAAGAAAGGGCACTGGAAGGAACGAGAGAATAAAAGCGGGGATTGAGAAAGGTTGAAAAAAAAGCTAGAGAAGGAAGCTGCCTACAGGAAAATGGGTGATTCATCGATCGCGCCGTATGCCGAGAGGAGAAAGTCAGGAAAACGGAAGTATGGAATGAGACGCCGGTTGAACTCCTGTGAATAGTTCAAAATGGAGGGGAGCTGCTAAAAGTATTTGGCTTCCTCGTGCCATGGACAGAGAAACGTCTTTTTTCACATTTTCATACTTTCGTTGTTATATAGTTGACTTTCATCTTGCCAGAATAAAGGGACAAAGGAAAAGGAAGACGAATAATAGCGAAACGACAAGATATGAGTGTTAAAGAGTTAAAAACAAGCCAACGCCTTCGCTTCGTCTCAAAGTGCCTCTCCGTCTAGCGGATGTCTGCGTCCCCTCCTGCTCTCTTCCCCCTCCCCCCTCCTTGTTCTTGCGCCTTCCCTCTTGCCCCCAAATTGCTAGATTAGTCATACTGCCGTGATAGAGATTGCCCAGCAATTATGGGAGGATGATTTTGCTGTTGTCCTTCCGCTTGAAGGGAAATGTGCACATCACGTTACCCCAGGAAAAAAAATGTGTATGTGGCGTTCTGTTGTATGCTTGACCTTTGGAAATCGCAATGTATAATCACTGTTACCAACATGACATCCAATGTCAGGAATATCGCTGCTATCCATTGCCACATGCACGCTCCGCACCCAGGTTGTCATGCATATCGGGGAGTGGTCTTGTCGCCGATATCAGTAGCGATATTTAGCTTGAATGGTAAACTTCCGGAACAATAGCGAGTATCGATGATATCAATAGTCTTACAACTGACCTTTGTTTGAATATGGCGCGATAACCTAGCTCATCTAACATTTCTCTTTGCTATTTAATTGCACGACGTGAAGTTGGATTCACGCTGGAGTGATTGTGCCATAGTATTGATTTATCGAAATTTCAGTTGAACGCATTTCTCTTTTCGCGCAAATAAAAGCCCCTCGAATGAATTATCTTGCAATAAGGGGCAAGGAGAACAGCGAAAAAAGGGTAATTAGCGCGTATTCATTTACATTCGTTCCTGTATGTATGTGTAATTGGTTGTATGTAGGTAGGCATGCGTGTATACAAGTCTCGGCGTTTTGAATAACAAATTTAGGTCATAGACGGCCGACCATATCCGTGTCAGCGACCGGTTAGGGGCCTCGGCGAAGGGGAAGCTCGGGGGGCGAAGGGCGCTGCCCGGAACAGCACTATTAGAGAAGACGGCGGAGGGAGGGCGTTCGTGAGCAGGGAGGGGGGGGGGTACAATAGCGTCCCCCGACACAGTTTAAGGGAAGAGCAGCATCTCTGCCCGCTTGAGGGGAGGAGAGATAGATAGTGCTGGCTGGCGGGAGAGGGTCGGGAGGGGGTCCGAGGGGAAAGGGAGGGATGGAATTAAAGAGGAGAGAGAATATCGTAAGTCGGGTTAGCGAGAGGAGCTCTCAGAGGGGAAAGAAAATGGTGCTCGGAGCTCGTGTGGAGAGACGTAATATTGAAGGGCCGGGCTGTGTTTGGAAGCCTCTCGTCGGACGGGGACCAGACTTAGGCCTATGTTTTTTCGAGCGGACGGTAGGCTTGCGTGGCCGCTGGTTCTGCAAAGGCATCCAAGTAAATAGGTCCGTGAAACTATTTGTCCTCGGGGAAGGACGGGGTAGCTTTGAAATCAGAATAGAAAAGAGAAGGGGGCAGGGGAGAGGGGGGCGGGGACCAACGAGGCCCCGAGACGGACGCCACGGACGAGTAAACGGATCACGTCTCTTCAAAGGAACAAGACGATCGCCCGCCCTATTGGTGTAATATTGTTTGGGCTAATACTGCTCACACGGGCATGGCGAGGGGGCTCCGGATTGGGGGGGGGGCGCACACGCACGCATGCACACGACCGCACGCACACACATTCATCCACACAACACACACACACACACACACACACACACACACACACACACACACACACACACACACACACACACACACACACACACACACACACACACACACACACACACACATCTATATATCATCTCTCTCTCTCTCTCTCTCTCTCTCTCTCTCTCTCTCTCTCTCTCTCTCTCTCTCTCTCTCTCTCTCTCTCTCTCTCTCTCTCTCTCTCTCTCTCTCTCTCTCTCAGCCATACCAAACCCACACCCTCGCAAAGGAAGCGGAGGGAGAAATTGAGAATTATGGAACGAGAGCCAATACATAAGAGCGAGAGGGGTAGGCTGGGAAGAAGAGAGAGACAGGACAGGATAGAAACATGTTCACGAAAAAGAGGGATTCGAACAGAGAGAAAGGGAAGAGACGAGGGGCAGGGAAAGCCAGAGGATGATAGGTATAAGGGGAGGAAGACGTTGGAGAGAGAGGAGAAGGAATAAGAGGAGGAAAAAGGATTGGAAGAAAAATGGAGAGGAAATGTAAGAATGTACGAAGTGAAGATAGATATGGGAGTATACAGATGCAGTGGAAGCTGAAGTATAAAGTAAATGGTTCCGTTGAAAAGAATATAATGATAGAAAGAAAACAAAAAGCATTATCAGCGGGGAGTGGATGGAGGGAGTGGGTGTAGGGAAAAGAGAGAAGAGGAAGAGAGGAAGAGAGCGAAGACGTTCCTCCACTTGCGGAAAGGAAGGACCGAGAAAGAGCGTCTCATGTTTTAAGGCGGAATGCGATGTCACTCAAATATATATACACGTGTAAAAATGTCTCGGAAAGAGGATGGTGGTTGCTAGGAGGACGCGTAGGGCGAGGGAAAAAGAGAAGGCAGGTGGGGAAGGGAAGACACGTGTGTGTGTGTCAGTGTGGGTGTGTATGTGTTGTGCATGCGGATGTTAGCAGTATATATTTTCTTTGTCTCTTTTTGTATGTCTGCACCGCTGGAAGTACACTCAGACGTGGATGTACTGTATCTCATTACCCACACACATATACCTTTACACTTTGACACCTTAACCCCGCATCGAAAACGAACACACACAGACACACACACACACTCTCACTCACACACTCACACACACACACTCTCACTCACACACACACACACACACAACACACACCACACACACACACCACACACACACACCACACACCACACACACACACACACACACACACACACACACACACACACTCACTCACTAACATACTCTCTCTCTCTCTCTCTCTCTCTTCTCTCTCTCTCTCTCTCTCTCTCTCTCTCTCTCTCTCTCTCTCTCTCTCTCACTCACTCACTCACTCACTCACTCACACACACACACACACACGCACGCACGCACGCACGCACGCACGCACGCACGCACGCACGCACGCACGCACACGCACCACACACACACACACACACACACACACACACACCACACACACACACACACACACACACACACAACACACACACACACACACACACACACACACACACACACACACACACACACACACATTCACTCACTCCCGGAGACGCACGCACACTATTTAAAATCCACACTATATTTATAATTTCCCAGCTTTCGTAGGCATAATGAGTTGGGCTTTTTAACCGCAAGCAATTTACTCTTGTATCAAAAGAATAAGTATGCAAATGAGATCACTTAGACAGAGAGCGAATTTTGTGTTAAAGATGTACGCG